AGGAATGAATTTGACTCATTTCAAATTTGTGTACTACGTATATACATACAAATCCTAAATTAATTTCTTTCCTTTACTCAATTTTTTATTCAAATTACGATGATTTTAAATCATTAAGAAACAATCCGCAAATGTAGGTATTAAAAAATATATTTTTTTAAATATTGCGCGCCTATTTAGGATTACTGTAAAGAACGTTGAACCCTGAAAACTGACCGATAAGATTGGTGGGATTTTGCACAATTATATAGGTAGCAAACATAAAAATGCTAATTTCACGAGTATGGGAATTGAAAAAGAGGACAACTTGTCCTACTAGCCGAGATTAAAGTAGATAGAAGGAAGGGGAAATGAAAGAGAGAGAGAAAGAGAGAAAAAGAAGAGAAGAAAAAAGAAGAGCGAATCATAGGACGCATTCCTTTTTTTCTTTAGTCACCCGGTCGATGAATGAAAAAGACAACCACAACCACGAGACTGTTATCTTTCAATTTTCATAATCAAAAACTTTATCAAACTATTATACATATATATATATATTTTTTTTTTCCAAAATTTCTACAAATAAAAAAAAAATTGTTATTCATAATATACTGTGACATGTACACGCACGTAAGATGACACACCTTATCAAGTAATGGTAAAATGATATAAATCAATTAAAAAAAGATGGAACAATTTATTAGTTAAATTTATATTTAAAAAAAAAAAACAAAAAAAAAAAATAAGGAATGAAATAGAATTGAAATGAATTCTTGTTGGTAATAAACTAGGATACACCGTTGTTCAGCGTGTTTCTCGTGCACGTCGAGAATCGATCGCATATCCTAACCTCAAAAGGCGCGCGCTACCAGGCGGGTTAGCAAACCTAGCTAGCTGACTGGTTGGTTAGCTGATTGGTAGATAGTAGGTAGGCACGCCTCAAGTTTTGCAAGCTCTCGTCAAATACATTTTTTTTTTGTCGATCAAACAATATTGAAAATAATAATAATAATAATAATAATAATAATAATAATAATAATAATAATAATAATAATAATAGAAATAATAAACTAACCTGATTTGATCAGTCTGTCTATTAACTTCCGTTTTTTCTTCCTTTCTTATTAATCTTCTGTCTCACGTGTCCTCCTTCTATTTATCTTTTTTCTTACTGCGATAATTATTATCACAGTTTGAACAAAAGATATTTCTAATATTTTCTATTGGTTGTGTGACACGGTGCACCTTCTTCTTCTTCTTCTTCTTCTTCTTAATCCTTGTCCTATCCTCTTCCACTCCCTTTCAATCTCGATCTCTTCTCGCACGCGCGGATTTACCTTTCCTGTCACCTGGCCGAACACATAAAGTCCACCCGGAGTTTCCCTATTTTGTCGTCTGACAATTCTCTACGATCGATTCGAATCAAATCACACAACTTTATTTATATTTCTCTCTTTTGATCTATCTTCCTCCTTCTCCTCCTCCTCCTCCTCTTCATCCGCCTATATATTTTTCTCTAATGTGTTGCGCGCGCGCGCTCTTCCCTATATATTATAACTATATATTCCCCCTCTCTCTTTCTCTCTCTCTCTCACCCTATCTTGTTCCCCCTCTCCACCCTATTCTCTTTCTCACTCTCTCTCTTTCTCTTCTGTCGTTTTTCTCGTTTTCTTTTTTTTTTTTTCGTTATATCGTACATCCGAACCTTTCAACGATTATCATTAAACTGAGGAAGTACACGACCGTGAAACGTTTTTTTGTGAATTTCTTCTCGTTCGTTCTCACTCTCTCTCTCTCTCTTTCCCTCTCTCTCTCTCTTTTCAACCTCCTCCACTCTTCCTTCCGCTCTTCTTCCCTTCTTCTTTATCCTTCTTCACTTCACTCCCACCACACTGGTGCAGCGTAAGAAGGGGAGGGGGAAGAACGAGGGAACAATGAAGGAGTGAATAAGAGAAACAAGGAATACATATACTCGTTGACACGCGAGCGCGCGCGCTCACACACACACACAACTCACTCACTTTCACGTAAGCTGCTGCTACTATTAACTAACTTAACAGAGAGACAAACACTAGACAACAGAGAGACAGACAGAAAAAGAGAGAGAAGGAAATAAGGAGCAGGGAGGAAGGGGAGGACGTCAGTTCCTCATTCGCTAGTTCGTTCCTTCGTTTATTCGATGTTTTTTGAATCCACAAACACATTGATTACAAATTTTACATTACTGTCTTCAATCCCACAATAAAAGTGAATTTATTTTCTAACCTAATCGTTTCAACCTACCGCTCCTAACCTCTTTTTCCTTTCTCGTCCACCCCCTGCCCCCTGCCCCTGCTGGTAAAAGGGCTTACACGCGACACAACCAATCTAACGTTACGTCTAACGGCACGCGTTAAGACTGGCCAAATTCGACAAGTACGATTGCAGCGCCCCCCCTGTAATATGTATATATATATATATGTATGCATAACTTTCTTTCTTTCTCTAACCAATTGAAAGTATTGGGTTCATAGGGAACGCGAGTGCCATCTTGCGGTTGTACTTTTTATTCCTATGGTATCGCCAATCATTTTTTTTATACACCTTCCTCCTTTCGCTTCTCTCATGAAGTTTGTAATTTTTATATTTGAATTAAACAATTTATGATTGTTATTAATTTTAAATATTTAAAGAGGTAGGAATTTTCTTTTTTTTTTATTGGTATTATATATTAATTTATTAATTTATGTTAATTTATAAACATTATTATCTTGACGTCAATCATTTGAATTTGTTTCGTTTGTTATAACGAAAGAAAAAACATTAATATTATTATTAGTATTATTAGTATTATTAGTATTATTATTATATCGTCCGGGAATTGTAGCTACGACCATTTGAATGATAAAAAATAATGGTCGACTATTTAAAAAAAAAATGACAGAGTAATTACTTCGCAAAATTTTCCGACTACGAAAATAAATGTCAAACGAAAGGTATTAAATAAAGAAAAAAAGAAAAAAAATGTGTCAAAGTGTATTTTATTCTTCATTTATATTTAGATTTTCCTTAATGAATGCTAATTCATGATTTAGATTTTATGTCATTTTGCAATTATTCAAATAGTTCGCGACAATGTCTTCGATATATATCGAACTTATAATTCGATTATGAAAGCAATGTTACAGAAAGGATTAAACGATCATTCGGAATCATCTTTTTTACGGTGTTTTTTTGAGAAAAAAAAAATATGATGTAAAACCAACCTATTACACATTTTCAATGATAGTGAAAGGAAAAAAAAGGTAAAGTGGAAATACCAAAAGGAAATACGAAATGATCGGCCATCTTTCTTTTGAAGAATGTGACGCAAGTTTATGGAGAATAAATTCAGTTTTATTCAATCCCGGATCCCCAGTCATCGGGGAAAGTGATTTTGGTTCATCTCAAAAAACTAGCTGTCAACATATTTGAGTTCTTATATCACGTGTAACGCCCATAAATACCTTACGTTTGGAAATTTCTTTCCAATTATGGACAAAACATTTCTTCATACAATTTTGTATAATATTCTACATAAATATTTTGTACATTTGAATAACCAATCGGAGAGCAAAGAATGATATTCTTAATATTTTTTTTTTATTTTTCACAAATTAAAGGTTAAACATTATTTCAAAAAAGTAAAACGTATAATTAATATTTAGGTTTATTATACTTAAATATTATTTATACGTTGAAAAGATAACGTGTTATCTTTTTCATACAGTTTTTAAATTATCACAAATATTATTTGTTTTTGCGTCTGAATTTTTTTTTCTTTTTTTGTTTTTTTTTTTTTTTGTTTAAATTCTGTTAACAATTTTCTGTTAACAGAATTATATTTTTATCTATTATATTATTTATCGTAATAATTGTTTTGTAAAACATTTTTTTAACGATAAATTTCGTCAGGGTTGAATATTACATCGCAAAGATTTTTTTTTTGTTTTTTTTTTTTTTTTTTTCAAAGAAACCGTACAAAAGTACATATTCATCGTGGTGATAACCAAAGGTGAAAGCTTCAAGGTAAATAATATTTTTAGGTTTTAAAGAACGTACTTACTTCAATGATTAAAAAAAAACCTTTATTTTTTTTTTATTTTTTATTTAATTTTTTGAAGAAAAAACAAAGGAAACAAAAAAGAAAGCAATTAATCTTGCGCGTAAGGAACTTATTTAAAATTGCAAAAAAAAAAAGAAAAAAAAACTCTAATTGTGCTCATAATTATAAAAGTGATCTAAGTCCGTGTATCTCTTGTTTCGAGATATTTAAAGATTTCTATTTGAACATTATATGAATTCTATGTAATATTTGAAAAAAAAAAAACAAACAAATATTACTTAACGTTTTATTTTTGACAATATCCTGAAAATTACATTGAATTTATTTAGTTTAAATCCGACGATACATGTAAAATAAAAAAAATAAAATGGAATCTTTTTTTTGTTTTTTCTTTTCATAAATAGTTACTTTACCATCTTAAAAATATGCGTGTAAATTTTTACAATGAAATTCGCATTATTTATCGATAAAAAATTCATTTGAGTGCTCCGCCACAACTCGGCGCTAAACTTTGAACGCGTTTTTCTCGAAACGACTTTTTTTCAAACTGTGCTGAAAGATAACTCAAAAAGGGTTTCAACCGATTCTTATGAAATTTAGCACACATTTTCTTTATAGTATTAACTTCTAATTGAACTTTAAGAATGTCACAAAGATTTGCAAAAATTGACATTTTTGATCCAAAAACCGTTAAAAAAAAAGGGTCAAAAATCAGACTTTTTTGTCTGAGTCGTGCCAATTGACGATTTTTTGACTTTTCAGTTTTTCCTTTGTTCAACTAAAAGATACATGTTTTTATGAACACGCTCTGACCCTTTTTTTTTTTAATTTTAAATTGCTGTAATTAAAGCTAAAAGTCACCATGATTGATGCGTTACGCCGCGAGGACCTCAGGAGACTAGTTACTACGGCGGCCATATTGAAAAAAGAAATAAAAACAAATCAGATTTTTATATTTTAATATGTAATGAATAAACATGCTGAGTTTCAAAACGATTCATTTATTCCTTCCTTCCATTTTAAATAAGCTTTTGAAAAACGATCAAAATTTGGGCGTTTACAAATATCGCCGTTTTTAAAATAATGTGATGCTTAATAACTAATAAACTAATTTTTTTTTAATTTTGACTTAAGCAACTTTCATAATTATGGGCACAATTAATTTCAAATATGTCTGATTAACATTGAAACCTGTTGAATAATTAAGATCGAATGAATAAATGTTTATTAATGGTATATAATGCAATTTAATGTGTTCAAAATTGAAATTATTATCATCAATGTATCTTTGTATTATTTTTAATATATATATATATATATATATATATATATATATATATTTCTAAACAAATTATAGTTTATCAATAAATAATAAGAGAAACTATTCATCCATGTGAATTTTTAAATGTTAATTTAAATTAACTATTATTATATTAAACATTAAATGTGTATTTTCTTCTTATTTTCAATTCATTAGTTCTACGAAAACCCTTTGATATTTTTATTTAAATATTAAACGATCTAAAACTGTGCATTGCATAGTTCGTACGATAAAAAAACAAATGTAAGAAAGAGATAGAAAATATTGTGTTATTTTTTTATTGTTTTATTTCAAGGTCAACGTTAGTAATTTCAATATGCACTCAGGGAATTTATAAATGAATGCATACATGCGAATCAACGTGAATAAAATTAATAAAAGTAATTAATATTCTGATGTACGATACATAACATTTCACGGAAATGAAATAAACAATCCATTTAAGGTGACACAATTAGTATAAAAAAAAGTTGATAAGATTTAAACACTTTTACTAAAAAGTCAATGTTTATTAAACCTTAAACTTTGCTCTTGATACCTGTTACACGTGTTAATTTACATAATTAAATGGTTTATACGATTATTTTATTTACCAATATGGGGGAATCCAATTTATTTGTTAGATTTATTAGAAGGAAAAAATATTTTGTGAAAAACTTATTACGTATTACGTATTAGAGAATTTAAAATAAAAATAATTGAAAAATTAATTAATAGGAGGAGAAGAAAATAATAAAAAAAATAAATAAATAAAAAAATAATTTAAGAATTAATATTAATAATTTAGAAATTAATTGATAGGAGGAGAAAATAGAAAAAAATATAAAAATAATCGAAGAATTAATTAAAAGAAGAAAAAAAATTTTAAAATAATTTAGGAATTAATATTAATAATTTAGAAATTAATTAACAGGAGGAGAAAATAGAAAAAAATATAAAAGTAATTTAGGCATTAATATTAATAATTTAGAAATTAATTAACAGGAGGAAAAAATAGAAAAAAATATAAAAGTAATTGAAGAATTAATTAATAGAAGGAAAAAAAAATATAAAAATAATTTAAGAATTAATATTAATAATTTAGAAATTAATTAACAGGAGGAGAAAATAGAAAAAAATATAAAAGTAATTGAAGAATTAATTAATAGAAGGAAACAAAAATATAAAAATAATTTAGGAATTAATTAATAATTTTAAAAATCAATTAATATGAGCAGAAAATAAAAAAATAATGAAAATAATTTAAGAATTAATTAATAATTTAAAAATGAATTAACAGAAGGAGAAATTTAAACAAAAAAATAATAAAAATAATTTAAAAATCAATTAATAGGAGCAGAAAATTAAAAAAAAAAAAAATAAAAAGAATTAAAAAATTAATTAACAGGAGCAGAAAATTAAAAAAAAAAAAGAAGTAATAAAAATAATTAGAAAAATTGACTAATATAGAATATAATAATAAAATAAAATTAATTAGGAAATTTTTTTTACGTTTTAATATAATTTGAAATAAAAAAAAAAAACTTTTCTACGAATAACGCAAATTCTTGAATAAAAAAAAAAAAAAGAAACACAAAAAAAAAATCAAAAGTCTTTTGACGATTTAAAATACGAATAATAAAGTTGAAGTTACTTTAAAAACATTTGTGTTTGATCAATGTATGTATGTATTAATAATCATAAAAGACCGCATCCGGTCTAACAACATTCTTGAAAATTCTTACGTCAATCGGTTAGTTGGGTACCAAAGGTCAAAACACGGAAATTATTTCGTGTATATCTTTTGATGATTTTATTCATTAGTAATAATGGTCTATGGAATAATAGTTATTCTTATATTGTTAATGTTAATTCAAGGTCTCTCTCTCTCTCCCTCTCTCTCTTTCTATCTCTCTAACTCTTCCTCTTTTTTTAATTTGTGCATGTGTGTGTGTGTGTGTGTGTGTGTGTGTGTGTGTGTGTGTGTGTGTGTGTATGTGTTTTTTTTCTTCTTTATTATTCAATACTAGAACGAAGGCCAAGTTTGAGGAAATATACTTGATTGTTAAATTGTCTTTTAATAAGATTCAGTCAAAGTGTAAAAAAAAAAAAAAAAAAAAAAAAAATTTTTTTTTTTTTTTTTTTTTATTCAAAGTATTGTCGCATTTATTTCAATCATTTTAATAAGTTGGAAATATTTGCCTTTTTTTTTTTCTTTTTTCTTTTTATATTTATGAATATTTTTCAAAGCATATTTTTGGGAGGGAAAATGTATTAAGTGAAATTATTAACATGATGAATTTTAATAATCAAATTTGCAATTAATTTTTTCTTCAAGAATTATTGTATTTATTTCAATCGTTTTAGGTTAAGAAATATTTCCTTTTTTTATTTTTATATTATAAAACATTTTTCAAAGCATATTTTGGGGGGAAAGTGTATTAAATAAAATAATTAATACGATGTGTTGATATTAAAATTGGTAATTATTTGTTCCTTCAAGAATTATGGCTTTTATTTCAATCGTTTTAGGTTAGGAATAT